CAAACGACCCGATGACGAGTGCCAATTAACCTACTTAATCGCAAGGTCACGCGTCGCACAGCACCTAAATGTATGGTTAGTTGTTTTATGCCGACGTTGAATAAACGCGTATTTAGTATACAAGAGTTTTATTTTAGCACCCATTTATGGATAGAGGTAGACATTACAAACCAGAACCCACATGTGGTATCTCATACCAACATGTTAAATGGAACAAATAAATAGAGAACACCATAGACTTTGGTTAGAACTTCCTGGATTTAGACAGTCCAAAAGATTCATATAGGTGCCATCTGTGAGCAGACAAAATCAACTGCTAAACCTTAGCAGAAGCGAACTCAAGGCCGTAATAGGACTCCTTACGGGACACTGCGGACTCGAACGATATTTTCGATGAAAAGGAATAAACCTCATATTTGATTTGCTCGCGGAATATTAACCGAACTCGTCTACCCGTCAAATGACAATATTGACATATGACAGACAGTTCATTAGTATTGACAGTTGAAAATAAAAAGGTGCTTTGCCTCGGTCACAGAAGAAAGCCTTGGTGTCTTGTGATAAAGCTTGGAATAGTTTAAAAGTAATAAACAACTTCTTTATAAACTTTTAAATAAACTAAAAGTGATAATAGGCGGCCGGATTGACGTGTATAGTTTGTACGTAGCTATATGAAAAATCACTTTCAATTTAAGGTTTAATCAGGCTTGGCAAATGCAAAAACAATCGTTTTAGGTGCGAGATATTCAAGCCAAAATAAAGAAGGTAACTTAAATTCCTTTAACAAAATGAGGCTTTTATACATTCTAGTCATAATTTCTTTATTTGTTTACTTTAAAAATAACTATTTTAGGTATTGTATTTTGAAAACCAAAGTACCAATAATGTGTGTGAATTTGTTAGAAGATGCATATATCCTCTTAAGGAACGAGTTGTGTAAGTTGTTTTCATTCACTGGAAAAAAGGAAGATGCCAAGTTAAAAATAGCTGAAGCCGTTATGGGTAATTATTTTCACCTAATATCAATCGTTTATATTATCATTTAATTGAAACATTTTCAGATTCGGTAAATTGGTAAACAAAAAAGAAATCAAAATTCAAATAGATGACTGGTTGTAAAGGGCTCCGGGAAGAAATAGACATCATGAATCAGAGCGTAATAATTAACATTTTTAATTTTTTTGTGTCAAATTTTTTTTTTTTTAAATAAATTTATGAAAAAAAGTAAGATTTGATTATCCTACTAAAAAACATTTAGGTAATTTTTAGAACGTTCCAGCAATAGAATAAAAAACTTACCTAATATATTTGAGCAACATCGCAGGATGTTCCACAAATGTCTCTTAGGAACGTCTCTAATACGTTACAAATGATGACATGGTCATTGCCAAAAACATCCCAGGTACGTTTGAGGGAGAATAAGAAACATGGTAGAAACGTTTCTAATGTCCCAAGGGTATGTTTCTGTAACAATACTGTGCTATAGGGCTATGACTGTCACCCAAGAGTCCCCGCACTAGATTAAACTTTTCCAGTCAGAAAGGCCTTTAAAATACAAGTATAACAATTTTACGATTGATTTTTCCCTTCCTTTAATGTAGGTGCCAATTTTGACGTTTGTAATCATTTTTTATATTTTTCAGTAAATAACCGCTAATATTATAAGTTTACTAAGATCTTAGCTTTTTTATAGGCACGATTCAAGGAGGGAGTCCTATGTTTCTCATTCAAGCCCTAGATAACAGTTTTCTAGTAGCAAGAGCCTTTAAAATTTATCTATAATAATTTACTGTTTCAGTTTTTCTCCTTTTTCGTAGTAGGTGTACATTTAAACTACAAATTTTTATTTCACTGCTGAAGATTATGTGATCTAGTTACGAAGAAGAATGGAAAATATGCATTAATTGGTCAGCTTGCATCTTCAAATTGCTAGTGGCAGAATAAAGAAGCGATACGATACCCAAGCTACAGCAGGATGTTTCAAGGAAGGCGACAAAGTCTGGCTCCATAACCCAAAAAGACAGAAGGGTTATTCTCCAAAGCTTCAAAGGTCTTGGAAAGGCCCGTACTTCATCAAAAAAAATTAATGATGTCATTTACTGTATAAGTAAGATCTCGAACGGTAAACCAAAGGTAGTGCACCAAAACCGACTGGCGCCATTTGAGGGTGACCATGAAGAGGAAGAAGAAGTAAACCAGCTTCAAGAAACACCAAACCTTGTCTTTAAAGAATTTATGGGTGCATATGGAGGTACCGGAAAAGCAAGATATGGTGTTACAACCGAGCAACAACAAGATCTGCTCACGGTTCTTAAAGATAACTCGCTAGTCCATAGCACTTCCGCCAACATCTACGACACTAGAGGTTTGGCATCTGTATTCCGGAAGAAGTTTGGTCGATTGCCAGAACTTCAAGATCAGTTACCAGCCCCTGGAAAAGCCTTAAAACTTCAAGATGGATCGCGTTATCTTTTCTATTTGGTAACAAAGAACACCTTCCGAGATCAATCCACCTATCAGGATGTATGGGAAGCATTACTCAGTCTAAGGGAGCATGAAATGCAGTCCAATGTACGGAAACTAGCTATGCCAAAGATATATAGCAACTAGCTGAATTGGAGGATCATTGGAAACATTCAGTTTTAGTTCCAGGAGGAACTATTTCTTATGGAGGGGGCAATGTGATGCGGAGCCAACCCTCTGTTAGCGCGACCTTGGAAGTCTGCCACTCGATTCATGATCGAAGCAACGCTGACGTGTGAAGACAGTGAGACCGCGTCTCGAATATACAAGAACGGGCGATGCGTGCTGTTGAATCAGAGATGAAATTTTCAGGAGCGTCTAGAGACTTCTCGTAGCAGAGTTGAACTTGGTTTAAATAGCCCTACTTATCGGCGCACAGTTTAGTTGAGTATAGAGTATTGGACTGAACACATAAATTCTAATAAATAAATTAGAAGTGTTAGTGTTTAAATATTATATAAATTAAATAGCACGTCATAAATAAATTGTAAATAGTGTGTATTAAATAAATAAACTATAAATGAATTAGATTATCGTCATATAATTTTTCAAATAAAATACATATTTTATACAATTTTTTTTTATACCAGAGCCAATTATTTTTTAGATCTAACCTCTATATGTAAAAAATAAGTGATTTAGGTAAAATTAAAAAATGTATTATATATTATTTTAAATGTGTTGTTAATCCAAAGGCTGCTCTTATTGTAATAGCTAACAATAAAAGAATTCGTATTACGCTCGCCTGGATTTACAGCTCTTATAATGGAACATACTCCTGAATTATTATTGCCAAATGACTATATTTAAAAATTCACACCATTAAAATTATATTTGAATTTACCGCCATATCGAATTAGTTGAGCGGCCAGTCGCATTTAGCGCTGCAAGCTTAGTGCCATCTCTTTAACAAGTGAAATGGACTACAGCGGATATATTATGGATGCGAGTGAGGAAGAAGATCGGCGAGAGGCAGAGCGGATTTTTTCATGGTTTTAGTTTGTTACGTCGGCTTTTTGTTGCAAAATCTTGTTTAAATTAACATTTAGTTTTAAATATATTGTTTAGTTTTTCTTAGTGTTTTTGTTCTGTTTTGTGTCACGTAAGTATCTGGCCAGGGGTATTATTGTATGTATGGTATGTATGCTATGTATGCTATTTTGAGGTTGTTTCATCATTAAAAGTAGAGCATTTTTGCCTGTTTGTATCTGATTGTTTATCATTTTACCCGATTTTTCTTTTAATACGTACAAGAATAAATGTATAAATGTTTATGTAATAATTTTATAGTTATCGTGAAAACTATTTTATAATTATATTGTAAAAACTAATTTATATAATAATTTAGTTTCATAGAACAAAATAGTGGATTCTGCAATTTTAAAACAATAAATTAGCATTCCAGAAACAGCAATATAATATCAATAAAATATACTAGTCTTGTAAACTAAAAATATTAGTTTTCAATAAACTAACAAATTGGCAAACCAAAGCATAATTTCGATTGACTGACACTACACTATTACAAATTTTTCTCGCCCACCTAATGTACTAATTTTTATCGTATTAAGCAATAATAACTCTATTGTAATACATTTATTCCGTGAGCCCTGAATCGCACAGATGGGAACAACAAAAAAAAATCTATTTCATTATAGAACCATAAGTGATCAAATTTCTTAATTACTTCTGACATCCTCTTAATTAAATTTAATGCAGTTAAAATCATATGAACAATAATTCATCCATGGAAAATGTACTTTTTTTATCATATAATCCTGCGGGTATTATCTATTATAATATTATTCCTTGTACAAAAAGGCGGAATAGAATTTTACAAAACTTTTTATACGTATTTTGGGCATGCTCTCTTTCTTTCACTAGACACACAGAAGGTTCTAAAAGGGTATCCATTAGGACTGTCTTGTAAATCACAAGGGACAATCACTTGGAACTTCTTCACGCGTTTTTTTACCATAAATATCCACGATCATTGGCGTAGAACATGCATTACGTATTTATGCAATACCTACGTGCCAGAATATATTATAGGTGTTAAAATAAGCAAGTGAGATAAAAAGTCTTGACAAATAAGTCTCTTATACTATATATTCTTGTATTTTGTTATTTTGTTGAACAAGTTTAGATTGTATATGGCTTATTCCAAAATATAAATTTGTAAAAAATATTCATTTTAATAATTTAAAAAAAAAATCAAATCTTTAGTACAGGATATTTATCAGACTTATTAATTGTAGTATCTTCTCGTAAATAATTTACTCTATTAGTAATTTAATGATAGTTATAATTTTAATGAACCCTGTTTGTAATAATATAATAATTAATTTATTTTAAAAGTAAAATCTAATCGCTTTTCCTGGCTATACAAATCACCCCCATGGATTGTAAATCAAACAAATTACATTATTGATAATTGATTACAAATTGCAATTACTATGATTACAAATTAAAATTACCGTCATTACAAATTACTAAAACTCCATTTAATATTATTTAGTTATTAAATATGTATTGGATTCAAAATCGAATCTCAGTTCATTACAATTAAAAAATAATTATTTTTATCGCGACTTTTATTGAAACTAGTGTATAGATACAACTATATCCAATAAAATTATAACTGAAATATATGTTATGTTTGGGATAAAAACCGTGTTTATGTGCACCTAAAATGTAAGATTCGAACTCCCCTTAGTAATTGGATTTTATAGAATTGAAATGTAGCCTTTATAATTAAAGATTTGTGAGATTTTGTTGACACATTCTGTACACTAAGTATCAAAATCAAAATTTTCTTGGTATTTGCTTAGAAAGGTTATAAATACCTACACCAATATCTCCACAAAGGTTTTAAGTGCCATATAATTTCAAGCTTATCTGAATTGAAATAACACGAGATTTTTCAGGAAAATATCGATAAGAAAAATTTAAATAAAAATAATTTTAAAATAATGATTAATTATAAACATTTTTTACAATGATTTAGTTTTGACGTTGTCGGTCTTGGTTGCCAAAACTGTGATATAAAAAGCGCAAGGCGGTTTTTCACTAAACAGAAGTGGTAGCCATGTTGTACTATGGATGACTCATTATCATATGATAAATGGTTTCTAAAATTGGTTTATAATTTTACTGATTAAATATTGTTAATAATTTGGATGTTTTATGTATTAATTTAAACTTTTATCAAGCCTACGTTTTGTAGACATTTTTAAAAAGTATTTAGAGTTTTAGTATTTATTTATTATTCCTGTTAATTTTAAATTTTCCGCGTTAAAAGACAAACAAGACAATATGGTCAGTTGTTGGTCTTGTCGATATAGCAGCACAGCTTAAAGTAAAAAGAAATAATTTACATTTCATAAGCAAGTATTTTGTTCTCTCAATTTTCCACCACATTAAAGATTTTTAATATTTTTTATGTTTTAAATTTGTAAATAAACTTGGTAAGTGTGTCTGCGATCAACTATGCTCATAGGCATAATCTCATGGTTTAAAGGGTATACATACTTTTATTTAAACAATTCTTTTATGCAATTTTAAAATATTTATGTGGTTGTTAAAATAATTTCCTAAAGATTCTCAAAAAATAAAGTTATGGCTTGAGTTCATGCAAGAAACAAATTATGAGCCAAAATATCTTAATTTTTTGTGTTCACGCCATTTTAAAGCAGATTGTTTTGATCTAACCTCAAAACCAAGAATATGACTTCTACCAACAGCTGTTCCAACAATAAAAGTGGTCCGGTTGAAGTATATAAGTAAATAAATTCTTTACTAACTATATCATGCCGTTTTTTCGTATAATAGAAGATTATTGTATAAATGTGATGCACCCTATATAATTTATTACAAAGTTATTTACAAAAACGAACACAAATAAAATTAATAATATCCTCAAGTAAGGAAATAAGTAGCATATCGCATGCCTCAAGATACTGTCTTAGGTCCTATCTTGTTTAATTTTATTTTAAATAATTTGTCATTTAAATACATATGAAAATATTGAAGGTTTTTCAGACGACACAGTTATTCTGTAAAATGCAGATAACTGGAATTGATTAAAATTGGTAATAGAAACATTTTTCGAATGGTTTAATTATAAAAACTTACAGACCTCTGATAAAACTTATGTTGTTTCATTACACAGTTACAAAAAGATTGCCTCTTCCTATAGAAACAATATAAGGTAACCTCCAGTAGTTTCATATAAGTATTACAATGTTATCAAATACCTTGGAGTACAAATTAACTCTTATCATAACTGGACTAAGCATACAAATAATGCATTAAACGTAAATTTAAAAATAATCTATTTGCACTCATAGAATTGTGGCGAAGTCACTAAATTTTGCTCTCAATTAATTTAAAAATGTATATTTCAATTAATTTCCGCCAGAGAAGATGTAGAAGATCCCCGTATTTCTGTTTCCCAGAAATTACCGTTTTTCAACAATTGCGAGTACACTCGTAGATTAAAATATTTCTATATTTGCCGAAATCCGAAAGGGCATTTTGTAGAGTCGTCGTACTGATTATCTACCTTTATTTGTCAAGGTACTAGAAGGACATTTTTTATATCTTTAAATTGTAAACAGTCGGCTGTAGAGGTGGTATCCCCACTCGGGCTTACCGGTTTGCCATCTTGTCACAGCGAAAAAGCATAAATTCGATGACATCTGGGAATTACTCTCTCTTGATTGCCGACAGCCGAAAACTATTAGCCCTTCTATAGTGCCTAGTAAATACTCCATGAATGCCATGATTTCGAAAGAATATTGAACAACCCCGTTTATTTTTCTAAAGGTAGGAAACCGCTTATTATTTATTTTATTTACAATTACTTTGGGACACCCGTCCGATAAGTGAAATAATTTTGATTCATGCCCAGCATTTTTCATTTCGTCCCTTAGTGGGAAACCGTTGGCAATTTTTTTTATAAGAAGCACCCAGTATTTTTCATGTAAGTTTCTCTTTTCTTTTATTTATTCATTCAATTGTAATTGAATCGTTCCGTTCCCCGTCCACAACTAATTATTGAATGAAGCCAGACGACTTCTGTAAAATTAAATTTACACACGCTCTCGATCGACTCTGGGCAAATTTCAAAATATTATTTTCTACGATCATCGCCTTCGCCGTCCAAAACACCGCATGAATACCCATGTTTCTCATTAGACGAAAATTTTCGCTTCCCATCGCTCGTGGTTAAGATACGAGGGGGTTCCGACATTTTTGATTTCATTTGTTTGCTGGCATTTGATTATCGTCATATTTAAATTGTTTTCGAGTGTATTAATTTATTTTTAATAAATTTTCCGTATATAGGGAGTTTCATAATTCCCGGACGGCTTGGCCTCCTGTGCTAGCGAACCGTAAATATTTTCCCGTACTAGTAAAAGGTAATACGAACTTTTAATTTCCTTAGTACCTAACAAGGTAATAAAGTAAATTGGATTTAAATCCGGGGGCACTCGCACCCTTCTATTTTCGTGTTAATCTGGGGGTGATAGCGGTATTCGCTTGCTTCCCCCCGTCGATAATCAGAGCTGTTTCGGCCCCTAGTCTTTATAACAGCTCGTGAAAAGGGTTTCTCTCTTGCAGAAGCTATGTACTACCAGATGTCTACATAAGAGAGACTTTAAACCGTTAACAATTATTATTGAACAATACTTTTGTAGTGAAAACAATGCCATAATAGGATGAGAATACATTTTTCGACCATTTTAGATTGAGTAGAGCAATAGTAAATGGCATTGCTCTTAGATATAAGGCAAATGATCTATAAAACAGATATTCCGGACAATACGCAAAATTGTCGGCTTTAATTCAGGTTGGCTTGACAGAATTTGTACCGATATTGTTGACTTTTAACCAAATAATTTTAATTTTAGGTTTTAATATTTTTATGGTTTATTGGCCACCAGACATCCTGCTTCCGTGATATTGGAGACGGATTTAACATAACAATAAGTTCTGTTCATAGAATTACCAAAACATTATCAGTTTTTCTTAGTAATCTGTCATCACAGATTATTGTGTGGCCAACTCCCAACGACAAAATAATAATCGAACTACATTTTAGAGAATATGGATTTCCTAATATAATCAGCTGCATTGATTGAAAAGGTCTGGAAAAAATGTTCTGAAATTACAACAAAGAAAGAATACTAGAGATTTTGACCAAATTTTTTAATTATCAATAAAAATCGCATTCACCACTTTTTCATCGGATTTTAAATCAATCTGTAATTAGTTTCTAAGGTTTTCATAACCTGATAGTTGTACGTTTCTTTATACAGTGTGTCCATAAAGTATTGAATAAATTCGATATTTTCTAAACTAAAGGCTTTTTCAAAAACATTTGAAACACGTCGATTTTTAATTTTAATGTTCTACATTTTACAAAAAAATTTCATTAAACAAGGTCATACACATTAAGGTGATGGCGTCATCGCCAATTTTTTTAAATGTAAGACCCTGAATTTTGTAAAATGATACGTGGGAAATTTCAAAGATATGCGCTTAGAAAGTGAATGTTATTGATATTTATTTAATTGATACATGACTTTTTTAAATATTCGAACTGTAGCCCTTGCTGTATTTGACAGTAGCCCAAACGTTGAACCTTGTTCATGGTTTCTTGAGAATTATTGTTTATTTCTGTTCCAATTCTCCCTTTTAACTCTTTAATATTTGCTGGTTTCGTTTCATAAACAACATTCTTCCGATGGCTCCACATAAAATAATCCAAAGGATTGAAGTCTGGTGACCTCGCTGGCCATTTAATATGTCCACGTTTACCATTTTACCTGTTCAGAAACATTTAGTCTAGGCAATTTCTAACATCTACAGCATAATGCGGAGGCACACCATCCTGTTAAAACCATAAACGTTTATTAGAACCTCCAGGATTAATTATACTGGCGAATAAATTAATTAAAATATGTACAAGATACTCCGTTAAAAACTGAAAGTATGTTGGCCCGTTTAAATTTCTTTAGAAAAAGTAGGGTCCGATGATTTTATTTCTTACAATGCCAGTCCATACATTTAGCTTTTGCGTGTATTGTGTATGATGCTCACGCTTCCAGTTGAGGTTTTCTTTTGCCCAGTATCTACAATTCTGACGGTTGATCTCGGCATTTAATGTTAAAGTGGCCTCATCAGAAAAAATAATGTTTTATATTACGGGAGGGTCTCGGTGGTAGTTATCCATCATTACTTCGCAAAATTGTATTCTTCTATCTAGGGAAACTTCGTGTAATTCCTGTACAAGTTTGATTTTATAGGAAAGCCATTTTTCAAGTTTCATTAATTTATGTACCCTTGTTTTGCTAACATCAAGATCACGACTAACCTGACAAACAGAAGTGAGCGCAACTTCTTCAAAAGTAAGTAAAATATTTAATGTTTTTTTATAATTTACAGAGGGACGACCTTATTTCCGTGCATTTTCAAC